CAATAAATCTTTTCTTTATTATCTGAACGGCCTTGTGATTTGAATTTGTTTTCAGTTAAAGGTTTACCATAGGTCTGTCAGATATCCAATTCGACAAGTAAACACAACAGCCGCTGCAACATAGTAGGGAAGAGAGCGTGATGTGAATAGTTGCAATATAGCGAGAACAGATTACGGCTGGTGTGGTAGCTTTCACAATTCGTTCTCCAAGTGAAGCTTACCACAAGTAAATGTCAAATAGCAGCGACAGAGCAGTCAGCGAAGAGTGTCCAAAGTCCCGGAGGTGTGTCCTGTCGCCGGTCTTACACACTGAAGTAACAGAAGACGAGAAATATGAGAGAAATTTGTGTTGTGCTGGTTCACTGCTTTCATGAAACACGCAATCTCTAATCTCACCATAAAGTTTATCCAATATAACTTTACGTTCATTATTAAATTTATTTCATTTTTTAAATTAGTTTTCACGGATTTCTTCGACCAAAGTAAACGTTTCTCTTCGTGATGTTTCATTAAAAGTAATAGTTTTGTTGGTTTCATGCCTTTAGCTTATTTTCTTCATATGCTGCATCTTTTATATTCATATGCATCTATCTATCTATCTATCTATCTATCTATCTATCTCTCTCTATATATATATATATATGAGTGCGTTTGTGTGTTTATATTCGCAACATCAGATTCCTTAAATAATGTATTTCATCTCAATCCATTTTTTTTTGCTGTTTCATTCTTTCAATGTTTCTCGAAACTTTTGGCGACGTTAATTTTTGCCAATATTTTCAATTGTTTTTTTTTTTATTCTTCACTTATCTCTGTTAATCTTTTTACAATTCCCTCAATACCTTTGAAACATTTTGTTTCTCTTTTGTAGATTACATCTTTCTTCTTCATTTTTACAACGTTAAAAAAAAATAATGCAATATTCACTCGCAAAAAAAAAAAAAAAGAATTATTCTTACGATCAAAATAAGTTTTATGTTTGAATTTCTTTGATCAGGAGTTATTCGTCAGTAATTTAATTTATTTACTTGGCAACGGATTTTATTCTTTTAACCTGAGAAAAGCTTACTTACTTAAGTATAAATTCTATATATGTAACACCAATTGTTGCATTAAGCTCTGATCAGTTGTATATTGGAAATGATTAAAGATATCTTACTGGAATTGTCTGAGTCCTTTATAACACTATTGGACTCTATTTTGAGCAATAAGAATGTATAATTACTCTCCAAGCTTAACGGAAAAGTCGTGATGAAATCGATCATAGTCTGGTTTGGTTTGTTTTGTTTTACGGCACATCAACCTCAATGGGTCATTTAATGCCGAAAACTTTTTTTTTCCCTTGTAATATTTTATTTTTTCAAAAATTTATTTCTGTTAATATTTTTTCCTCACAAATGGATAGTTGGTAATATTATTTAAAAAAAAAAACGTATAGCTGGTAATATTTTTTTCAAAAACGTATTGCTGGCAATAGTTTTAAAAAAAACGTATTGTTGGTAATAGTTTTTTTTTGTTTTCAATTTTGTAATATTTTATAATGCTTTTTACCTCAGTTTCGGAGTTAACTATTTGCCCATAGCTGGGACCCAAACAGGTGCTACCATCCCGGGTCAGGGTGTATCTGGGAACACCAGCAATTAAGAGGTGGTTCCACGCTCCTCAAAACCTCCTGACCAGAGGCCTTGCTGTTGGACGTAGTTTATCGTCTTACCCAGGACGCGGATATAGTTTATCGTCATACCCAGGACGCGGATATAGTTTATCGTCATACCCAGGAGAAATAAACGAAAACGATATGTTCATCAGTAATTAATCAAAACTATAGTTTGGAAAGTCATGAAGGATTAAAATTAATTTCTATTATATATATATATATATATATTATTCCAGGATCTTTTTCCAACTTATTCAAGATGATCTTCGCCTTCTCTAATCTTCTAACTTTCTGTCCGGGAATAACAAAGTTCCTCACGGGTTTCACGTACGATTTCATTTTCAAGGTTTTTTTTTCACTACTCCTTGGTCTGTCATAGCTGAAACTCCTCTTTCACATGCCAAACATCTTATGAACTGAGTTGGATCTTTTTAATTGATTCATTTATCTCTAAGTTGAAATGATGATCTCTCCTTCTGTTGTGACCTCTTGATAGAGTTTTCCTCGCTACTGTTCACTCTTCTTAAACTTATTCACCGTTCTCTTGGTTCTTGAATGGACTTTGAAGATAGAAGCAAGAATATGAATTTAACTTTTTTATGATTTTAACTTTTCTAGATGAATAAATGAAAGGGTTTTGCAGTGATTCTTACGGTAAATGGCGCCAAGATGGCTAAACATCTTATCTGTGAACCTGGAAAAAAGAAACTCAATTAGTTTAGAGGTTTTGTAGATATTAAACATTTTTTGAGATGGACAATTATCCCATGATGTTACACGATTTGCACAATTTTGCAGTTACAACCGATATATCAATTCCCGAATCAACAATTATGTTTAGTCATAATTCCCGTTCTATTTGAATTTCTGGGATGAGGAGTTATCATTACTCAGACTGTTTGTGTACCAACTATCTTCCCCATTTTTCTTGTTATTGTTATCATAACTTTTCGGTCGTTCTGCTCACCGGCCTTCATTAAGTGTACCTAGAGGGAATTCCGAATTGAACCCTTTAGTTAATCTATGGGTGTAGACTCTTCTCGTCCCACTGATTATATATAGGTATACATCGTCTAGTTTTTATTTTTTTATTTTTGTTCAGTTGTTGCTCATACTTTTTCCACTGAATCCGAGTCCACACTGTCCGGCCCAGGGATTGAACTCACAATTACTATGTCACCAAATTTAGGAACTTAATAGGCTATTGTAGATTAAATAAAGTGTTCAGTTCAGAATTCCATGTACGTTACTCAGATTGATCTCTACCTGATGAAGACTTTTCCTGTTCCACTCTATATGTCTAGGGATATCTCGTCTAGTTTTTAATCTTTAGTACTGTTCAGTTATTGCTCTTCCTATTTCTATTGAATTCAAGTACACACTGTCCGGCCCAGGGATTGCACTCACAATTACTATGTCACGAAATCCAAGAATCTATGCTTTAAGTCTATTCTAGATTAAATAGAGGGTTCGGTACAGAATTCCATATATGGTACCCAGATTGATCTCTACCTGATGAAGTCTCTTCCCGTTCCACTGCCCATGTCTCGTGATTTCTCGTCTAGTTCTTATTTTTAGTACTGTTCAGTTATTGCTCACCCTTTTTCAACTGAATCCAAGTACACACTATCCGTTCCAGGAATTGAACACACAATTACTATGTCACCAAATTCAGGAACCTATGCTTCAAGGCTATTGTAGATTAAATAAAGGGTTCATTTCAGAATTCCATGTAGGTTACCCAGATCGATTTATACATGATGAAGAGTGATTTCGTTCCACTGATCATGTCTAGGGATATCTCGTCTAGTTTTTATTTTTAGTAATGTTTAGTTATTGCTCGCCCTGTTTAGACTGAATCCAAGTACACACTCTCCGGACCAAGGATTTAACTCACAATTACAATGTCATCAAATTTATGATTATTTTTAAATTTTTTATCAAAAACTACATTCGTGTGCATGTAGTTATGGATAATATTATTCATTAATTACTATTTTTTAATTAATAATTATTTGTGCTCAGTTGTTGTCATTAATAGCTATCTGCTGATGTGTTAAAATTTTGGAATAATGCAAGAATAAAAATTTTAATTTCATCTCTCTGATAAATGTCGCGATCTGTTAATGTAGATTGTTTCCGCCCAACTGCTCATATGCAGGGATATCTCGTCTTGTTCATTTTAGTGATGATTAGTCTATTTAGTATGTACTAGTCACAACCACTATGTTACCAAATTCACGAAAGAGGTTATTTTGTCGTAAGTATTCTTTGTTGGCTGTCTGGATCGATATTTTTTTTTAATAATTTCATTTCAAGAAAGGCGATAAAGTCATTGAGACGCAGAGGGAATGAAATAGAGTTTAGGGATGAGAAGTGAAGAAAGGACAACGAAGGAACAGGTTTCAGGAAGACTTAAGATAGTGATTGACGTTGCATTTAAATTTTCGAAGATTGTAGTTGGCAGGGAAGCAAGAACAAGGAAAGGATTTCAAATGTTAGAACAGAAGTGGCGGTTGCATCTAGCTAGTTAAATAGTAATATGATGAGACCTAGTTGTCAATCTAATAGTATGTATATATTCATAAAGTCTAGATGCCATAGAGGAAAGTTAATCAGAACTTGCTAATAAGATTCAAATTATGGTTCTTGAAATGACAGAGTGAAATTTCGGGATAATTTTCCGTAACTTTGTCAGACGTAACTCAATCAAAACTTTTATTTATCGATATAATTGGTAATTTCCCGGAATATGAATCTCGTTGCAAGAGGAAATTATTTTGCAATCATCTGTAATAATATACAACAATTCAACAGAGCTATCCTGGCTACCCTAAAGGTTATCCGCATCTAGATGTTATGGTAGATGCAATAGATGTCTTCATGGCAAAGGAAGCAGACGGAATGGTACGGAATTCGTTTTTTTCTTTTTCCTTTCTTACACGATCTAACACAAACCACTAATACTTTTATGAACATAGTTGTCGTTAGATTATTATTCGTGTTTGTGTGTCGATCGACATACGTCATCAACACGTGAGAGACTTAGGCGCATTCTTGTGACATTTCAGATCCGATATCAAAAATGAATTCCACTTCTACTTCGCTGCCAGCAACAAAATATCTTCTGAAGATGGCTGGAAAGACAGGTGATAATGGTTCGTCATCGTAGAGATGTTTGGCACTGAATTTTCAAAACAATACCATTTATAAATTCAGGCTAGTAGTTAATATGAGAATTGATAAGTTTGTTCTTGCGACAGGTTACATTAATACGATTAATGTTGGAGACAATCAGACGCAGTTGATCACAAAAAAAAGACATATTCATTGAATTTCTCTGTTATATTTTTAAAGTGTTGATGAATACACGGCACGGTTGACGAATACACGGCACGTGGACGAATACATGGCCCGGTGGACGAATACACGAACCTGAGGACGAATACATGGCCCGGTGGACGAATACAAGGCACGGTGGACGAATACACGGCACGTGGACGAATACATGACCAGGTGGACGAATACACGAACCTGAGGACGAATACATGGCCCGGTGGACGAATACAAGGCACGGTGGACGAATACACGGCACGTGGACGAATACATGACCAGGTGGACGAATACACGAACCTGAGGACGAATACATGGCCCGGTGGACGAATACGCGGAACGGTGGACGAATACACGGAACGGTTGACGAATACATGGCCCGGTGGATCATTACACGGACCGGTAGACTAATACATGGCCCGGTGGAAGAATACACGGCACGTGGACGAATACATGACCAGGTGGACGAATACACGAACCTGAGGACGAATACATGGCCCGGTGGACGAATACACGGAACGGTGGGCGAATACACGACAGGGTGGACGAATACACGGCACATGGACGAATACACGGACCGGTAGACGAATACATGGCCCGGTGGACGAATACACGGCACGCTGGACGAATATACGGCACGGTGGACGGATACACGGCACGGTGGACGAATACACGGAACGGTTGACGAATACATGGCCCGGTGGATCATTACCCGGACCGGTAGGCTAATACATGGCCCGGTGGAAGAATACACGGACCGGAAGACTAATAAATGGCCGGTGGACGAATACACGGCACAGTGGACTACTACACGGCACGTTGGACGAATACACGGCACGTTGGACGAATACACGGCACGGTGGGCGATTACACGGCACGTGGACGAATACACGGCCCGCTGGATGAATACACGGCACGTGGACGAATACATGGCCAGGTGGACAAATACACGTCACGGTGGACAAATACACGGCACAGTGGACGAATACACGGCACGTGGACGAATACATAGCCCGGTGGACGAATACATGGCCCGCTGGACGAATACACCGCCCGCTGGATGAATACACCGCCCGCTGGATGAATACACGGCACGCTGGACGAATACGCTGGGAAGAAACACGGCACGGTGGACGAAAATGGCCCGGTGGATGAAACACGGCACGTGGACGAATACATGGCCCGGTGGACGATACACGGCACGTGGACGAATACATGACCAGGTGGACGAATACACGAACCTGAGGACGAATACATGGCCCGGTGGACGAATACGCGGAACGGTGGGCGAATACACGGCAGGGTGGACGAATACACGGCACATGGACGAATACACGTCACGGTGGACGAATACACGTCACGGTGGTCGAATACATGGCCCGCTGGACGATTACACGGCCCGCTGGATGAATACACGACCCGCTAGTTGAATATACGGCAAGCTGGACGAATACACGGACCGGTAGACGAATACATGGCCCGGTGGACGAATACACGGCACGCTGGACGAATATACGGCACGGTGGACGAAGACACGGCACGGTGGACGAATACGCGGCCCGCTGGACGAATACACAGACCGGTTGACGAATACATGGCCCGGTGGACGAATACATGGCCCGCTGGACGAATACAAGGCCCGCTGGATGAATACAAGGCCCGCTGGATGAATACACGGCACGGTGGATGAACCATGGCCTGGTGGACGAATGCACGCGTTGGACGAATATACGGCGGTGGACGAACACGGAACGTTTGCGAATACATGGCCCGGTGGATCATTACACGGACCGGTAGACTAATACATGGCCCGGTGGAAGAATACGGCACGTGGACGAATACACGGTGGACGAATACACGGAACGGTGGGCGAATACACGGCAGGGTGGATGAAACACGGCACGGTGGACGAATAATGGCCCGCTGAACATTGGCCCGCTGGATGATGAACCGCTAGGAATATACGGCAAGCTGGACGAATACACATGACGAATACAGGTGGACGAATACACGGACCACGAATACATGGCCCGCTGGACAAATACTCGGCCCGCTGGATGGCCCGGTGGACGAATACGCGGAACGGTGGACGAATACACGGCAGGTGTATGAATACGTCAGGGTTGACGTATACACGGGTGGACGAATAATGACCAGGTGGAGGAATACACGAATGGACGAATACATGGCCGGTTGACGAATACACGGCACATGGACGAATACACGGCACGGTGGACGAATACATGGCCCGCTGGACGATTACACGGCCCGCTGGATGAATACGAACCGCTGGTTGAATACCCGCTGGACGAATACATACCGGTAGACGAATACATGGCCCGGTGGACGAATACGGCACGGTGGACGAAATACGCAGCCGCTGGACGAATACACGGACCGGTTGACGGTCACTGGACGGTACGCTGGATGACGAATGGATACCTGAGGGAATACATGGTGGTTGACGAATACACACAGGAACGGTGGGCGACACGGCATGGTGGACGAATACACGGCACATGGACGAAGATACACGGCACGGTGGACGAATATGGCACGGCACGCTGGACGAATATACGGCACGGTGGACGCGGCACGCTGGACGAATATACGGCACGGTGGACGAATACACGGCACGGTGGACGAATACACGGACCGGAACTAATACATGCCCCGGTGGAAGAAACGGACCGGAAGACTAATAAATGGCCCGGTGGACGAATACACGGCCACGTTGGACGAATATACGGACCAGTAGACTAATACACGGCACGTGGACGAATACACGGCATTTACTAATACATGGCCCGGTTGACGAATACACGGCATTTGAATACATGGCCGGTGGACGAATACATGGCCCGATGAATACACGGAATACACACGCACGTGGACGAATACAATGGCCCGGAGGACGAATACATGGCCCGGAAGCCGAATACGGACGAATACGAAGATTACACGGGCCGGTGGATACATGGAATATACGGAACCGGAGGACGAATACATGGCCCACGACGAACATGACATTTGGACGAATACATGGCCCGTTGGGAATACACGGCACGGTCATTACACGGAACGGTGGGTAATACATGGCAGGGTGGACGAATACACGGCACATGTACGAATACACGGCAAGGTGTACGAATACACGGCACGCTGGATGAATACACGGCACGCTGGATGAATACATGGCCAGGTAGAATAATACATGGCCCGATGGACGAAGGTTGACGTATACACGGCCCTCTGTATGAACGGTGGCCCGCGAATATGGCCGGTGGGCAGGGCTGGATGAATACACGGCCCGCTGGACGAATACACGGCACGGTGGACGAACACATGGCCCGGTGGGCCACGTTGGACGCTGGACGATACACACGGAACGTTTACACATGGCCCGGTGGATCATTACACGGACCGGTAGACTAATACATGGCCCGATGAATACCACGGCATGGACGAACCATGGCCCGGTGGACGAATACACGGAACGGTGAATATACGGGCAAGCACATGGACGAATACACGGCACGGTGGACGAATACATGGCCCGCTGGACGACGGCCCGCTGGATGAATACATGAACGCTAGTTGAATATACGGCAAGCTGGACGAATACACGGACCGGTAGACGAATACATGGCCCGGTGGACGAATACACGGACCGGTTGACGAATACATGGCCCGCTGGACAAATACTCGGCCCGCTGGATGAATACATGACCAGGTGGACTAATACACGGAACGGTGGACGAATACACGGCAGGTGTATGAATACACGTCAGGGTTGACGTATACACGGCACGTGGACGAATACATGACCAGGTGGAGGAATACACGAACCTGAGGACGAATACATGGCCGGTTGACGAATACACGGCACATGGACGAATACACGGCACGGTGGACGAATACATGGCCCGCTGGACGATTACACGGCCCGCTGGATGAATACACGAACCGCTAGTTGAATATACGGCAAGCTGGACGAATACACGGACCGGTAGACGAATACATGGCCCGGTGGACGAATACACGGCACGGTGGACGAATACGCAGCCCGCTGGACGAATACACGGACCGGTTGACGAATACATGGCCCGCTGGACAAATACAAGGCCCGCTGGATGAATACAAGGCCCGCTGGATGAACCTGAGGACGAATACATGGCCTGGTTGACGAATACACGGAACGGTGGGCGAATACACGGCATGGTGGACGAATACACGGCACATGGACGAATACACGGCACGGTGGACGAATATACGGCACGCTGGACGAATATACGGCACGGTGGACGAATACACGGCACGCTGGACGAATATACGGCACGGTGGACGAATACACGGCACGGTGGACGAATACACGGACCGGTAGACTAATACATGCCCCGGTGGAAGAATACACGGACCGGAAGACTAATAAATGGCCCGGTGGACGAATACACGGCACGGTGGACTACTACACGGCACGTTGGACGAATATACGGACCAGTAGACTAATACACGGCACGTGGACGAATACACGGCATTTGTACTAATACATGGCCCGGTTGACGAATACACGGCATTTGAACGAATACATGGCCCGGTGGACGAATACATGGCCCGCTGGACTAATACACGGCACGGTGTATGAATACACGGCACGTGGACGAATACAAGGCCCGTTAGCGAATACACGCACCGGAGGACGAATACATGGCCCGGAAGCCGAATACACGGACCCGTAGACGAATACATGGCCCGTTGGAAGATTACACGGGCCGGTAGATTAATACATGGCCCAGTGGACGCATACACGAACCGGAGGACGAATACATGGCCCGGTAGACGAATACATGACATTTGGACGAATACATGGCCCGTTGGCCGAATACACGGCACGGTGGACGAATACACGGAACGGTGGGCTAATACATGGCAGGGTGGACGAATACACGGCACATGTACGAATACACGGCAAGGTGTACGAATACACGGCACGCTGGATGAATACACGGCACGCTGGATGAATACATGGCCAGGTAGACTAATACATGGCCCGATGGACGAATACAAGGAAAGGTTGACGTATACACGGCCCTCTGTATGAATACACGGCAGGGTGGACGAATACACGGCCCGCTGGACAAATACATGGCCCGGTGGACGTATACATGTCCCGCTGGACGAATACATGGCCCGGTGCACGAATACATGACCCGCTGGTCGAATACACGGCACGGTGGATGAATACACGGCTCGCTGGATGAATACACGGCACGTGGACGAATACTTGGCCAGGTGGACGAATACACGGCACGGTGGACGAATACATGGGACCCTCGACGAATACACGCTACGTTGGATGAATATACTGCACGGTGGACGAATACATGGCCCGGTGGAAGAATACACGGACCGGTTGACGTGTACATGTACCGGTGGACGAATACACGGCCCGCTGGATGAATACACGGCACGGCGGACGAATACACGGCACGGTGGACGCATACACGAACTGGAGGACGAATACACGGCACATGAACGATTACATGGCATGGTGGACGAATACACGGCACGGTGTATGAATACACGGCCCGCTGGATGAATACATGGCCCGGTGGAAGAATACACGGAACGGTGGACGAATACACGGAACGGTGGACGAATACACGGACCGCTGGATGAATACTCGGCACGGTGGACGAATACAGGGACCGCTTAACGAATAAATGGACCAGCAGACTAACAACTGGCACGGTGGACGAATACACGGACCGGTAGACTAATACATGGCCCGATGGACGAATACAAGGAAAGGTTGACGTATACACAGCCCTCTGTATGAATACACGGCAGGGTGGACGAATACACGGCCCGCTGGACAAATACACGGCACGGTGGAAGAATACACGACCGGAGGACGAGTACATGGACCGGTGGACGAATTAACGGACCGGTAGTCGAATACATGGGCCGGTGGACGATTACAGGGACCGGTAGACTAATACATGGCTGGTGGACGAATAAACGACACGCTGGACGAATACACGGCCCGGTGGACGAATACACGGCACGCTGGACGAATACATGGCCCGCTGGAAGAATATACGGCACGGTGGACGAATATATGGCCCGGTGGAAGAATACACGGAACGGTTGACGAATACATGGCCCGGTGGAAGAATACATGGCCCGCTGGACGAATACACGGCACGCTGGACGAATACACGGCACGATGGACGAATACACGGCACGGTGGACGAATACGCGGCACGGTGGACGAATACGCGGCACGGTGGACGAATACATGGCCCGGTGGATCATTACACGGACCGCTAGACTAATACATGGCCCGGTGGAAGAATACACGGAGCGGAAGACTAATAAATGGCCCGGTGGACGAATACACGGCACGGTGGACTACTACACGTCACGTTGGACGAATATACGGACCGGTAGACTAATACACAGCACGTGGACGAATACATGGCCCGGTGGACGAATACACGGCATTTGAAAAAATACATGGCCCGCTGGACGAATACATGGCCCGCTGGACGAATACAAGGCCCGCTGGATGAATACAAGGCCCGCTGGATGAATACACGGCACGGTGGACGAATACATGGCCCGGTGGACGAATGCACGGCACGTTGGACGAATATACGGCACGGTGGACGAATACACGGAACGTTTGACGAATACATGGCCCGGTGGATCATTACACGGACCGGTAGACTAATACATGGCCCGGTGGAAGAATACACGGCACGTGGACGAATACATGGCCCGGTGGACGAATACACGGAACGGTGGGCGAATACACGGCAGGGTGGACGAATACACGGCACATGGACGAATACACGGCACGGTGGACGAATACATGGCCCGCTGGACGATTACACGGCCCGCTGGATGAATACATGAACCGCTAGTTGAATATACGGCAAGCTGGACCAATACACGGCCCGCTGGACGAATACACGGCCCGCTGTATGAATACACGGCACGGTAGACGAATACATGTCCCGCTGGACTAATATACGACACGGTGGACGTATACATGTTTCTTTGGACGAATACACGGCACGGTGGACGAATACACGGCCTGCTGGACGAATACACGTCCCGGTAGACTAATACCTGGCCCGTTGGACGAATACTCGGCACGGTGGACGAATACTTGGACCGGTGGACGAATACACGGCACGTCGGACGAACACATGGACCGGTGGACGAATACACTGCACGGTGGACGACTAAATGCCCCGTTAGACGAATACACGGACCGGTAGACGAATACATGGCACGGTGGACGAATACACGGACCGGGAGACTAATACATTCTCTTCATCCTTTCCTCCTATCATTCCTCACTTTGCTCTCAAACCAACTCTCTGTATCCCCTTGCGTGCTTGTGGCTTCTCGCTTTGCTTGGGGTAAAACGCTTAAAAGTGTGTAACTTCCATAATATTTAAGCTTTATGATGGTTCCTTTAGCTTTAAAAGATGCGTAAAACCCGGCACATTCAAGGGCTCTACATAATGGACATTATTAATAGAGCAGCGAACACTGCCCTTCATGTAACCGAAGAATTTCTGGCCGAGTTGTTAGAACGTTCGCTTCCTGACCATGAGACACAGGTTTGTTAGAAGGAGACTCCCTAATGTTTTTGGATTGACCCAAGCATTGTGAGTGAAATTAGGTAGACACATGGGGCCCTCGATAGCTGTGCTAGCACGAAGTCACAAGTCATCGTGGCCGAAGGTTTGAGTGTGCTGGCCTTGTTCAGATTGTTGATTACGCTAGATAACACGCTCTCTCCCAGTAACTGTAACTAAGGTCTGCTCAGCATAATTTGCTGTATACACGACAGGTTGTCTCTGTAGGTGTTGAACAAACACAAATGTGCCTGAGGAAAAATCTGCAATAGGGATTGGCTAGCCGCCCTAATAGTGGGGTTCCCTCGAGTACAAGTGTCCATCTATATATATATATATATATATATATATATATATTATTTTTTAGGACATTTTTATGTTCATTCATTCTTTTTATAGATACAAATATTTAAGTAAATGCTCTGTTTATAATAAATAGTATTAAACATTATAGTGTCTTTAAACTATATATAAAAACTTGCTAACCGATCTCTCCCCTGTGGCCCAATCGGTTAAAGGCACGTCTGGCTATATGACGGTTCCATATAGGATACAGATTTGATTCCTGTCGGAGGGCGAATGTTTTCTATAAAAATTTCTCGGGCATTCAGGCCGGTAAATGATGTTTAATACTATTTATTATAAACAGGTCAAGCCTGACGACCGCGTCTAGCATGAACAGCCTGTCGCCTCTAAGTGTAATGTTAACTTTTATATTTACACACGCTCCATCTTTGATATTGAGCACTTTATCCTATAAATATAATAGATCTTAAGACTATATTTTTTCATATTCAGCTCCTGATAAACAACAGTGCACTTTCGCTACATTTATAACACAGTATGGACATAGAAAAATTTAGCCTTGACTACTCCCTAAAATCCCATCCCATCCCATATATATATATATATATATATATATATATATATATGGGGTCAAGCAGATCAGTTTCTAGGAAACTGACAGCCCGGCACATGAGATTCGATTATAGTGAGGAAAGCTTCGTGCAGTTCCATCCACACTTTTGAAGGGCCGAATACAGAGACCTGGTTCACTACGTGCCACAAAGTTCCCAAACAGCCCTCCGCAGGGTTTGAATTCAGAGTTGTCTTTCTCCTAGACCAGTTGCCATCCAAGGCTATAGAACCCAGTCTGTCCTGCTATTTTACCCGTAGTTGGAGGGAGAAGAAGAGGATTCACACCTTTCCCAAGGGTATTAGCACGTAAGTGAATGTAATGGATTCAACCTGGATTCGAACTCGGCTCTGCGATTCCTCAATCCGAGCCAATATCCATTACTCCACCGATATATATATCCGTATTTAGATAATGAGTTTTTTTAATAAGTAAAAAATTCAATGCAGTTAAGAGTAATTGTACGCCATACCGTTTGCTAAATAATACCAGAATATGCTTCCTTCAGTGCGGATTCGTGTACACGCCTGTAGGCGATATGAATGATTTATAGGTGGAGATTATGTGATTTTGTGTGCATGCGTGTGTGTGTATACGTCTTGGTACCTTGCTTTCCCAAAATCATTTCTGTTCTCGCCGGCAAACACATAATCAACTCCTTTATACACTTTTCTTAACTTGCTTTCAGTGTTAGCTTCGGTCCTCAAGGAATAACTGTCAACAAAATTCACAATCGTTGCCTCGGTAACAATTATCTATTTTCTTTTCTTTTTTTTTTTAAAGAGTGTTAGACAGAAAACTCAAATCGACTTCTTTTCAGCTCGTAAAATGACATTTCTATGGTTTATTGTCAACAGAGTTTTCCTCTTGTCTTCCAATGTCGTTCGTCAGTTGCAGAACAATGGCGAATGATTCTACTATCTTCTCAATTCGGTTACAAATCTTTACAGAAGTATGGTTTGATACAAAAAGTTAGTGAACTAACTAATATCAATCATTTGTCTGAGATTAACCTTTGGTCGCATAGTATCCATCCTCAAAACTCATATCGTTAAAATAGCTAATCATTAAGAAATGCATGGGAAATGATTTTCCTATGAAAGTTCATCGTCATTTTATTTTACTATGGAAACTCATATTGTTAAAACGGTTAATCCTTAAGAAATTCATTGGAACTGATTTTACTATGAAAGTTCACGTTATTTCACTATGGAAATGCATAGTAAATGGGTTTACTATACAAATGCATTGCAAGTGTTTTTACGATAGAAATGATTTTATTATGGAAAATGCATAATAAATGTGTTTTACTGTGGTAATATATTATAACTTATTTGACGGAAATACTTTTAATATACAAAGATATGCATGTACAGAGGTCAATAATTCACAATCCATTTTAAAATTACGCAAAACATCTTCGTAACCAAATAATGCATTGTTGAACACTCATTTAACTTTATAACTGAGTCCACCCATATAATGAAAATCCGCGTAAATAACGAAAATTGACGATTTTTACTGGTTTCTTATTTTTCGTTGATCTTTTAACCAGTTTTTCTTTCTGGAAACTTCATATGTTTCTTTGTTATGCTCAAAATTCTCGCCGTTTAATGTTCTTTATTATGCAATGACTAAACGGACTTTTCTTTTGGGTCTAGTCTTCGGGTTCTATTTATTCATAACAGAACAACGTCTCATCTGACTTATTATCCATCCAATTAGATACATATACATTCATAGAAAGCATATGGACTTGATGGCATCACTGCAATAGCTATTAGTCTATCTATATATATATATATATATATATATATATATATATACAATTGCTATAAAAATGTATCCTCTTTTACAACCCTAGTAGCACACTGACAAATTGAATTTTAAAAATCCAAAATAATTGTGATCTGAAATGGGTCTTCATGTTTCCTGTTTTACCCTTTCATGTCCTCGGCTAAATTCGATTGAATAAATACAGACGACTTCTGTTATATCAGTAACTGCATTAATTCAAAATGGTTTTTAATGAAAGAGCTTGGAAGTAATTGAAGAAGATAGACTCTGTTACATCTAAACATGATGCTGTTTTTGCTCCGTTTTAATTGAACGCTTTTTCTGATCGAGCAGAAATGGTATTGGTTATGATTGCTAGGAAAGAAATAAAGAAAGAATTGCGAAAAAAAAAGAAAGTAAAATAAAATAAAAATATCGGGAAGAGGGAGGAAAACAATTTTAACAGAAATGAGAAAGAAATGTGGTAAGTAAAAGAAAAATAATAAAAAAAGATTTCTCATTCGAAGGGATAATAACAGTTTAAAAGGAAGAAAGGAAACATTTGACGGGAAAGAAAGTAGAAAAACAAAAAAGATGGAACTGAAGGAAACCTTATATATGGGCTTAAAATTAATAAATAATCAGAGAAAAGTTTTGAAAGTCGCTTCAGGGAAATAAATTCAAGGAAACGAATGAAGCAACGATAAACTGAAAGTAAAAATAAGAAAATGTCGAAAATATCAAGGTAGAAATTAAATGCATTGTAAAATAAAAGTAAAAAATATTCTGCTAAATCGAGAAGAAAATTGATAGCATGATAAAGATTAGCATGAGCAAGGGTAGCCTGGGTAGGATCACAACAATAAGCAGAAGAAAAGGAAGACATCGGAGAAAAAGAAAGAAAGAAAGAAAAAATCGGAAGAAAATAATTCAGAGAGAAAGAAAGAAGGAAAGAAAGTAAGGAAGAAATGAGGAATAGAAAATCAGAGAAAAAAGAATCCATAATGACAAAAAGAAAAAAATACCGAAAAAGAAATCGAAAAGAAATAAATAAAAAATTAAGAAAGAGAAAATAAAGAAAACAAGAAGAAAAAAAAAGAAAAAAATCTGAGGTGAAATAATTCAGAGAGAAACAAAAAATGACATTATTCAGGAATAAGAATGAGAAATTACTTCAGAATGAAAGAAAGAAAGAAAAATAGGAAAATATTCAAAAATAAAGAAGGAAGAAAAATAATTAAGTAAGAAAGGAAGGAGGAAAAAAAGAAATTCGAAATAAAAAAAACAGTAGAAAAAGAATTCATAAAGAAAGAAAGAAAGAAAGAAAGAAAGAAAGAAAGAAAGAAAGAAAGAAAGAGAGAAAGAAAGAAAAAGGGTGGAGGATATTCTGAAATGTAGAAGGGAGAAAAATAATTAAGAAAGAAAGGGAGGAGGAAAAAAAGAAATTCGAAATAAAAATATCAGCAAAAAAAATTAAAAAAAGAAAGAAAGAAAAGAAAGAAAAAAAAAAAAAGAAAAAAAGAAAGAAAAAGAGAAAGAAAGAAAGAAAGAAAAAAAGGGTGGAGGATATTCTGAAATGTAGAAGGGAGAAAAATAATTAAGAAAGAAAGGAACGAGGAAAAAAAGAAATTCGAAATAAAAAAAAACAGCAGAAAAAGAATTCATAAAAAAGAAAGAAAGAAAGAAAGAAAGAAAGAGAGAAATAGAAAGAAAGAAATAAAAAGAAAGAAAGAGAAAAAGAAAGAAAGAAAAAGAAAGAAAGAAAAAGGAGGTAAATATTCAGAAATAAAGAAGGGAGAAAAATAATTAAGAAAGAAAGGAACGAGGAAAAAAAAGAAATTCGAAATAAAAAAAAACAGCAGAAAAAGAATTCATAAAGAAAGAAAGAAAGAAAGAAAGAGAGAGAGAAAGAAAGAAAGAAAGAGAGAGAGAAAGAAAGAAATAAAAAAGAA